ATGGGAATTGGGTGCTCATAGACTCTTCTGAAAATTCCAGGATAACACTTCTTGTATCTTACGTGAACCTACAATCTGAACGTTTATGGTTTTCCCAGTCACTAATAACGGGGCAGTTCTTCCATTGAGTGAGTTTTTAAAATAATCAATAAAATGTTTATTTTAGGAGACTCCAGCAATGATTGCTGCAGTTAGGATTGAATTCCAGCTTTCATTCTTAACCCCCCTCACCTTTTTTCAGTTACATGGGAGCATAGAACTGGAAGAGACCTCCTGGTTCATCGAGTCCAGTCCCCTGTTATTGCAGGCAACCCCATCATAGAATTCTGAGCCTAAATTTATCAAGCTCCATCTTAGAACTAGTTAGCATATTTCGCTCACAATTTCAGTGTGGATGCTGTTCCAGAACCTTAGTCCTCCTAACTCAGGTTGTAATTTTCTATGCTTTCTTTCAGCCTGGGAGTGAATATTTTGAGTTGCATCTTCTCCCCTAAATCAGGAACCAAAGAGAAAAATAAAATGAGAAAATCCATCTAATTTTCAAATGTAAAGAAACAATTTAAAAACAACAGCATCACAAGACTGACCTTTTCCTACATGAACACTCTCTGCTACAGTGCATGCCAGTCAGATCAGGTACACCTGAGGTGGGAGAGGCCAAGCAGCTGAATGGCAGGCTCTATTCTTCCGGGATGCCCTTTGTGTTTACACTCTAGTGTTTTGATGCTATAGAGGATAGGGCGAGAGGTGGCCACAACCTGCAGTATCACCCTCCACAAACCCAGCATAAGATCATGGTGGCCCTGTCATGATAAGTTCCTGTGCTGTGTCCCTATGCATGAGAATCAGACACAATCATCCACTTGTCCATATCATTGCAAAGTCTGCTATGAAGAGATTCCTCCTTCCAAGAATATACTGTCAATGAGATAATCTAATTGACACATTTGAGCTTCAACTTGGTTCCCTCCATTGTTTGCTCTTACAAGTTCTGTCTCAACCAGGTATTTAAAGAACATGCCTAGATGTAAGCACTCGAGTACTTGTTGTATCCACCAGGCAAAGTATTAACAACTTCAACAGAACTTTATTTACAGTGCAAGTCTCTTCTCCAAGCTGTAGCTGCACACACTGTAACTCTCCCAGCCTCCTCAACTCCTCCCCCCTCCTTCCTGTTTCCTGTCCTTTCAGACTCCCAACAGCCAGTGCTCCCAGTTCTAATAATTACAAGCAGCATCTAAACACCACATTCCCTCCTCTCTTAAGAAACTTTCCAAATTAAAATAAACATTGTTGTTCTAACCCCAGGAACAAATATGAAACAAGACACTATTCTGTTGGCAGGAATATTGCTCCCAGTTCTAACACTGCTCTATAGCCAAAATGCTTCTGAAATAAATGTAGTCAAACTTTACTAATTCTGGGTCACTGAGAACGAAAATGATGCTTAAAATTGTTGATTGGCTCTAGTTTTCAAGATATGCTATTGGGTCAGTATATACGACCCTTGACTTGGGAATGGCGGAGGATAAGTGAGTTATAAAGGGAAGGGATCTCAATTTAAACCAGAAATGACTAAAATACATCTTTGACTGGATCTATGAATAAATCTATGACTGGGTTTGGAGAGTACTTGCTTTTTAGGCAAAACAATGAATGATGCAATCTGAAGCTGGTATTGCGTCATACATGATATGAATTACATCATGTTATTCCTAGAAGTCCTGGATGATGCAATCATAACGAAGCGTACATCACTCTGCTGAACAAATTGCCCTATATCAGCTCTAGAAATCATACAGTGTCGTGCTCTCTTATTTGTCAGTGTTTGATTTTGCAAAAGGGACACATTTCTGTTTAGCCAAAGTGAGCAGAGATGCCTCCTACTTGTGTGAACAGTGCAGATAACTTCTGCTATGTTTGTGGTGAAGTGACTTTTGCATCACAAAAGTGCAGTATAACCACTATGGTTAAGAAAGCCTATCACCTTTATTTTGGCTGCAAAATTGGAGATCAGGACAAGAGGTGGCCCCCCCCCATGCTGCAACACTTGTGCAACAAATCTTCGCCAGTGGTTGAACAGGAAAAGGAAATCTATGCCTTTTGCAGTGCCAATGATTTGGAGAGAGCCAACAGATCATACCAGCAATTGTTACTTCTGCATGGTGCCTCCAGTTGGGAAAGGTGTGTCAAAGAAGAAAAAGTGGACTGTGCATTATCCAAACATTCCATCAGCTATACGCCCCGTACCCGACGGAGAAGGACTGCCGGTTCCTGATGCACCAGAATCATTCTCACTTGAGTCAGACGAGGAAGAGGAAGAGGATGAAACTTCTGGTCCTGAACCATCAATGTCACAGGACCCACATTTTCTCCCATCCTCCTCCTCTGAACCACACCTCATAACACAAGGTGAACTGAATGACCTTGTCAGGGATTTGGAACTACCCAAGAGTAAGGCAGAGCTGTTGGGCTCCAGACTACAGCAGTGGAATCTCCTGGCAGGTGATGTTAGGGTTTCCATGTTCCGTGACCGTCAAAAGGATCTTGTCCCATTCTTCTTCATGGAAGGTGATCTTGTAGCCTGCAACAACATCAATGGTGTGATGGCAGCCCTCAACATCGTTCACGATCCAGATGAGTGCAGACTGTTCATTGATTCATCGAAGACGAGTCTTAAAGCTGTTTTACTGCATAATGGCAATGTTTTGCCATCAATTCCAGTTGGTCATGCAGTCCATATGAAGGAAATCTATGACAACATGAAACAACTTTTGAGGTGCATAAACTATGACCAACATCAGTGGCAGCTTTGTGGCGATTTGAAGGTTATTGCTCTCTTGCTTGGTCTGCAGACTGGATACACAAAGTACTGCTGTTTTCTCTGCGAATGGGATAGTCGTGCAAGAGATTCCCACTACATGAAGAAAGATTGGCCACTCTGGCAGTCATTGGAGCCTGGGAGGAAAAGTGTTCAGCATCCACCACTTGTTGAATCAAGGAAGATTTTGTTACCACCCTTACACATCAAGCTGGGTCTGATGAAGAACTTTGTCAAGGCCATTGGCAAAACACAAGCAGCTTTCAAGTACGTCCGTGGAAAATTTCCAAGGTTAAGTGAAGCTAAGATAAAGGAAGGTGTCTTTGTTGGTCCTCAGATTCGTGAACTTCTTCGAGATGATGCATTTGATTTGACCATGCACTGCGTGGCAAGGAAAAGACGGCATGGAAAGCCTTCCAGTTAGTGGCAATACATTTTCTCGGAAACAACAAGGCAGACAACTACAGGTTGTTGGTGGAAAACCTCCTCAAGGCATACAAAAGCCTTGGTTGCAACATGTCACTAAAGAAACATTTTTTGCACTCTCATCTAGATTTTTTCCCACCGAACTGCGGAGCAGTGAGCGACGAGCACGGCGAGCGATTTCACCAGGACATTGCAACAATGGAGAAACGCTATCAGGGCAAATGGAGCCCATCAATGCTTGCAGACTATTGCTGGACAGTGACAAGAGATGCTCCATTTAATGAATACAAGAGACAAGCCAAGAAGCGCCGAGTAGACACTGAATAGGACTAAACTATGTACATAATAGTTTTTTGTCTTTTGTTTCATAATACATTTTATTTATATAACCCTTTTGCTGATTTTTAAAGTGTTACATAAACAGGACAGGTGAAATATTGTCATGTAAAGCAACCATAAACACATGAAAAGACCTAGGTTTACAATTTATGATTAAAACTCTACTATCTACACAATATACATAGACATAAAATGTAAAACTTAAATATCTTAGAGACAGTAGCCAATCAGTTGTTTTAATTGTCATATTTGAATTCAGCACATCAAAATACATAATAAATAGCACATTTTATCTCTGAAGCAGACGACTTCTCAAAAATTGTAGACCAGTGTTATATCCCACCACCTTAATTGGTTTACACCCAACAAAATTAATTATACAGCAGACAGAAACAATCACAGAACCAAACTGAGATTATACAGACAAACAATAGGGAAGTGGAGACTATAGAAGAACAAAGAGATGAGGATTTCACATCCCAGCTATTGATAAGTGAGTTCTTGCCAGACAGGATGCTATCAAACTAAGTTTCCTTTTACATTTTCTAGGCTCTTCCCTTTCTCTGGAGGTGATAGGAATATCAGGACAGGATTGTATTCCTAACAGCCCAATAGCACCTTATTTCAATGTGACTAGTTTGGAATGTAAGGATGTGACCGTACATTTCCCAGTTTATGGCTGCCTCTGCTGCTTAGCTGAAGGCCTTAGCCTAAGAACAGAGCTTCAGACTGTCACTGTAAGAGAAGGCCCTTACACAGACAGACAGTGATTTTGATTCTTTCTTTTATACCTCTATAACTAGCTAAGTGATAAGAATACACATAAATTCTTAAAGTATAGGTCTTTACAGACAGGCCTGAATATCTATATCGTAACATCTAGTCATGCTTTTCATTGGATGAATGACTTGGAGGGATTATATACTAGTTGACAGCTGTTGGCCCATTGCGATCCATGGCGGAGTCTGTTTCATTTGCCTTCCACATGTTTTCTTGGTTAAAATTCAATAAATAGCCCTAGACACCTCAGATTACCTTAATTTCTCCAAATTGTGAAGGCCTTGTATCTAACATGGCTACCCCATGGAAGGCAGGAATGTGATTTTTTGTAACTGCCGAGGCTGTCTCAGCTAGACACATTTAAGCCACATTTCTGTGCTCAGTGGCCCACAGTGATGGGGTGACCAAATTACTACAAGAGTCTGAGTTCACTGGGACCATGCAAGTGACTGGTGTCAAACAGTCACTCATCCCATCACCAGCATCTGTGTTATATTAGATCCACTGCACCTCTTATTTAAATCCATCTGTGCTCTGTGGCCATGAGATGACAGCCTGCACAGGCAGTGCCCAAAGCCTAGCTCATATCGTCACACTGCAAACACTGATTATTTCCCCTCTATGCTCCTTGCAGCACTCTGTGGTCTGTAGTGCTTTATTCTGCCTGGAAACAGCCATGGAGCAGGGAGGAAGCCACGTGTACACAAAGGCACTGATGGCCTACACCTTCACCCTGGCAGGGAAGGAGGAGAAGCACAGGGCACTGCTGGACTCGCTTGATAAGGAAGCTGTGAAAGAGGGTGAGACCTGTTTATGGGCTCTTCTTCTGCATCCCGGTCCACTGGCCCTATGTAGCCTGGCAGGAGAAGGGTTTGATTGTTATTGCTATAACCTTCAGTCTGTACTGCGGCAGGTCGGGATTATTTAGCCTCTTCACACATTTTAGATCAATGAGCCTTAAAAACCCTGGCACTGGCCATTCCTGGGATCTGACTTCATAAAATGTGGGAGACACAGGCACAGGTGCAGCAACCTAATTAGACACTGAGAGTTTCCACATCTGGACTGTATCGACCCACTAGAGGGATTATTTAATACCTTCATGCTTTGTATTGACATGCCCAGCAAGGGTTGGGACTCCATTCTCCATCCTCAGTGACCGTATGTCAGTAACCCTCTTGGCAAAAACCAGATATTCGGTAATAAACATTTCCTTTTCTCCTCACTGTCCCTTCTCCCACTGCAGATGGCTCCATTCACTGGCAGAGGCCCGGGAAGCAGCCAGAGGCTGATCTCCCGTTCTATCACCCCCGTGCTCCCTCCGCCGAGGTGGAGATGACATCCTACGTGCTCCTCGCTTACCTCCCCACGCGGCCGGCACCATCCCAAGAAGACCTGTCATTAGCAGCTCAAATTGCAAAGTGGATCAGCAAGCAGCAGAATCCCAACAGGGGCTTTTCCTCCACCCAGGTGAGCTGTTCCCTTCCCCAGCCTCAGACACCCAGGGCAGGAGGGGGAGGCAGGAGATATATATATCAGGTTGCCAGAGAAGAACGAATAACCCAGCATTGGAACAGAGACAGACTCCTTCTGGGGAGGGGGAGGGGGCGACAGTGCCCTCGCTGCAGGGTTTAGAGAAGCTCTGTTTCTGAGGGGGTTAGATCATGGGATAGTCACAGCATGGAGCATGGCTACATCAGATCCCCATAGGCCTTAGTGGGCTAATGAGGCAGGAGACTGGACAAGTGATGCTCTTGTGTACAGAGGGCAGACTTGTCGCCCTGAGCATCCACCAACATGACGCTTTCCTCAGCTCCCCCCAGCACTGACCCCATCCAGCCCAGCCAATCCAGCTTGGGAGCTGAGGACTCCCCAGAGAAGCAGCAGCAGCTAGCCACTGCCAGACACACCTTGGTGGAGCTAGGGTGACCAGACATCCCGATAAAATCGGGACTGTCCCTATATTTAGGTGTTTGTCCCGCGTCCTGCTCCGCTTTTTTTTTTGCTCTGCCGGCGACCCCCCCGCCCCATGTGTCCCGATATTTTCTTCCTCTCATCTGGTCACCCTAGGTGGGGTGGGGGCACCATCCTGAGTTATGTAGAAACAGAAAGTGCCACCTGATTAAAGGCAGCCCAAAACACATCCCTCTTGAAACAGTGCATGAAGTGTTTCCCTTTGGAAGACTACTTCACGGAGGGATTTGGTTAACACAGTAGGGTTGCAATTCTGTTTTCCTGCTGCTGAGGCACGTGGGTGCATCTGCCTCTGTTATCTGTCTGCCCTGTCAGCTGTCCCTTCAGGTTGCTCCTTCATGGGAGGGTGGGTGGCTTCTTCCCTCAGCTCCCTGTAGTGGAGTGTCAGAATTCCCAAGGCCTATGTTCCCAAAGGTACTTAGACACTTGGCTGCTTTCAGTGGGAGAAAGGTGCTTAAATACCTTGGAGGATCTGGGCCCAGGGAATAGGTGAATGGCTTGTGGGAGTGATGGGTAGAGAATGGGTGGAAATGGGAAAAGCCGACCTTTCTGAGCAGGGCGGTGCTGTGTGGGAGGAGCCGGTGGGGTAGGGGCTCCAGGCCCATAGAAATGGCTCATTCATTCCCTTGGGCGCCTGGGCCCATCTCTTGACTGGCAGGACACAGTGGTGGCACTCCAGGCCCTGTCCCGATACGGAGCCTCTACTTACACCAAGAGCGGAGGAGCATCCACAGTGACCCTGCAATCCACAGGGAACTTTCAGACCCAGTTCCAGGTGGATCACACGAACTGTCTGCTGCTCCAGCGTATGGCACTGCCAGAGGTGCCAGGGGACTACAGCATGGGGGTGACAGGAGAAGGATGTGTCTACGTGCAGGTGAGGGGCCCAGGGGCAGGGGGAGAGGGACAGGCTGCTGCTGAGGGCGCCTGGCTCATCCTGGAGATGGCAGGGTGAGGTGGGATGGGTAGGGGAGGGAAGGGAGAAAGAGATGGGGATAAGGATGAGAAAATAGGAAAAGGTGTGAGGAGAGAGCATGTCCAGAGTTAGGGAATGGGGAGCTAGTGAGAGAAGGAAGGAGAAAGAGAAGACAAAGGAGGGAATGAGATGGACCCGGGGAAGGAGGCAGAGGAGATAAGCAGAGAGGAGATACGCACAGGCTCACATAGAACTGTGCATTCTCTTCCAGACCAGCCTGAGGTACAACGTGCTCCTCAAGCCGGAAGAGGCACCATTCGCGCTGGAGGTGCACACGGTCCCCGAGACATGTGACAGCCCCCAGGTCCACAGGACTTTTAGCATTGCCATAAACATCAGGTA